TGTGACTTGATGGCTTGAGATGGTGAAGATAGCAAGGAAAGGCTTGAGGTACTAAGCAAGGGTGAAGGGCAAGCGGACGGCTTGGTGGTCAAGAACCTAGCTAGGGTGAAGAAGGAAGTACTTGCATTTAGTTGAGGTACTAATCAAGCTATGATGGCCATGTTTATGTGGAGGATCAAATCACTATTGGAATGTTTGATAGAAGTGACTTGATACTTTTTGGAGTTATTCATATTTGATGAATGGAATCAAGTCACGTGCTCAAGATGGCTATGCTCAAGTGACAAGATCAATATTGACATGTTGGCACCCTCACTTGATGAAGATTGAAAGACACGGCATCAATTTTAAAGAAGATCAACTCAAAAGGTTCAATTTCGTTTTTCTTTTGATCTTGAGTTAATAGGTATGCCGTACTATTAAGAGGGATGCAAGTTTAGGTGGTCTAAGGAAGATAGAGTGCTCAAGCATAATAAATAAAATCAAAAGAGAGACACTCTAGCACTTCACGAGCACATAGAATAATTTTCTGTGACTATCGGTGTCGGAAGTCCCGACGTAAGCCGGAACTCCCGACAGTCGGAAGTCATGACTCTTGCCGGAACTGCTGACTCCCAGTCATAGCCTGCGCGGTGACTATGGACGTCGGAAGTCCCGACGTGAGTCGGAACTCCCGACAGTCAGAAGTCCCGACCCAAGCCGGGAGTCCCGGCATCGATGGTTCTCTGACCTGCTGTTTGTGCCCGTCGGAAGTCCCAACGTTCGTCGGAAGTTCCGACAGTCGGAAGTCCCGACGTTCGTCGGAAGTTCCGACGTTGGCTATCTCAAGTGGACTTTGACCTCGCGTGAACAGTGTTTTCTTCATACGTCGGAAGTCCCGAGATCTGTGTCGGAACTTCTGACGCAGATCTGAACGGTTAGATTTTGCCTTGAAGTATATATACCCCGCTCCTTGTTTCTAACCGTTGCCCACTCATTTCATTGCGACGAACACTCGCTCAAAACAACCCCCAAGCATTCTAGGCTCGCCACTCTTCACTCCTTTGCTTCCAACTTCAATTCCTAAAGGGTTTGAGTGTTTGGAGAGTGGATTGAGAGAGAAAATCACTTTGAGCAAGCTTGAGCACTTGATTTCTTTGTCAAGCCGGTTTGATTTGCATTTGTTACTCTTGGGGATTTTCCCCTAGCCGGCTAGGCGTCGCCCAAGAGCTTCCATCTTGTGGAAGAGCCTTGGGAAGTTTGTATTACCCTTGTTTTCTAGTGAAGAAACTCAAGTGACCTTTGTGGTATCCTTGAGTGAGGCAAGGAGGTGGAAGAGACTCCGACCAAAGTGGTCACCTCAACAACGAGGACGTAGGAGCTCCTTTGTGGGGCTGCCGAACCTCGGGATAAATTCTTGTCTCCCGCGTGCTTGTTGTTGTTGTGATTTGCTCGAAATTACTTGTATTTGGTTGTCTCCCTCTCTCTAGCTATTTCTTAGGGTTTGGGCCTCGATCTACGGAGTGGTGGCTTATCAACGTCAAGAGAGTGACCCAACACCTTACCTTATCACTAGGAAGTGGGTTTGTAAGTTATCGGCATCAAAAAGTTCATTTTAGCACTTGCAGTTCATTTTCCGTAGGGGTCGGAAGTGCTGACAGTTTGCGTTGGAAGTTCTGACCCAAACTGTTGGGACTTCTGACACGTCGGAAGTTCTGACCCAAACGTCGGGACTTCTGACACGTCGGAAGTTCTGACCCAAACTGTCGGGACTTCCGACATTAACTGACTAGTGCATTTTGATTCAACTCTTTGGTTGCCGCTGTTTGGCTCCCTAAGTTTATCCAGTATCTTTTATATACTTTGTGGATAACTTGTGAGGGGTTGTATTACTCTAATTTAGAGTTTCCATTGTGGAAACTCCTATTACTAATCGTTTCCGCTTTTAAAGGTGTTGATTTTTCAGAAACGCCTATTCACCCCCCCCTCTAGGCGACATCCTAGATCCTTTCAATACCCTTAGGTAGACTGTCGATCATATTTCGTCGACACACAGGGTGGAGCGCGTGCGGGGAGATGGCTGCTGCGCCAAATGCAGAGTGAGCGGACGGACGATGTCGAAACGTGCGATGGGCGAGGAAGTGGGTAGGTATTTTTTAAGAGAGAAAGATGTGGGAGGCCTAAGGAGAAGGAGGCTGGCTTGGTGGGCCGTGTAGGCCTAGGAAGGCGCGCCTGATCGACAGATGCCTGCCCCTGAGCATTACCGCCATACTAATGCGCACGAATTGTGACAAGATGCCCTAGCCCATGGATCGTGAAAGGATCGTATCCATCTGGAAATAGTCAACTTTGCCTCCCTCATCTATCACAAAAATTTGCTTTTCCTCCCTTAACTAGAAAATCAGACATAACTCATCCTCCATCTTTTCAAACCGGGCATATGACCTCCTTGGTTGTTTCTCTAGGTGGTTTTCTCTTTTTCTTTTTTATTTATTTTGGCTAAATCTTTAAAAAATTATAGTAAACTATAGAAAAATCATAAAATGAAAATTTCAAATTTGTTAGACTTCACATGAGTTGATCTCCACATTAAACATATGATATGGTATGCTAATAAAATTTTTGCTCTAGCTTTAGATCTATGTTTTTCTGTAATTAATTCATACCTACAGTTTATGTGATCCTATTATAGTGAAATTTTTATGGTGAACTAGTATGCTTGAGATGTAGTAAAAATTTCATACTTATTGGATCATATATGACTGAGTTATAGATTTATTCAGGTTTATGCTTATCTACATCTATATCTATGCTTAATACTAAAGAGGCAAAATTTCTGGCTTGTTTTTTCGTCCCGCCTTGCCCTCACTGGGTCGATCTTGAATACGGGCTCGGGCTCGCTGTGCAAACTGACACTAGGAGTGGGGAAGAGAATAGAAAGGAATACGGGGTTCCAGATGTAAATATGCTAGAGAGAAAGAAAAGGTGGAAGGACCTTATTAGTTTTTGAAATAGATCGGGGTTCCTGATGCAAAATGTCCAAATCTGAGTGGGCCTCTTCTGGTGGGCTTATTTTTTGACCTGGGCCGAATCCTTGCAGTTGGGGCAGCTTAATTGTGGGCTAGACCAAGCCCATACAAGCCTTTTTTCTTTTCTTTCGTTTTTCTCTTTTTCTATAAAACAGAGATCTTGCAAAATCCACCAAAAATCATAGAAAAAGGAAAAAAAATACCAAACCAGTTTTGTTAGTTCCATAAAAAAGTGATATATCCATAGATGTTATGAATCTTGTTAGGTTATGCTTTGTCTATAGGTATGTTAAATCATCCTTGCATATGTTGCATGTATATAGGTTCGGCGATGACCGAGAACGTGCCAGAGGTAGACTCGGAATACGCGGAGGATGTCCTCGTCATCGGTGTTCCTGAAGCCTTCACTAACTTTTCGTTTGTCTATTTCCTACCCAAGGCAAGCGCCGATGCATAATCCCTACTTTTCAACACTTAATGTTTATTTTCACATTAAGTTTTGAGGGCAAAGATTTACACCATCTAATGTAGTTTTGGTAAGAAACAAAACTTATTTTTATTAAAATATTGAGAGAATTCCTTATTTGACACTAGGAAAATGAGTCGTTCCTTTCTTGGTCCTGAAATTTTCTTCGTTCTCTATTTGACACTCACTTCAACTTTCATCCCTAATTTGACACTACCGTCAAATCCGTTAGTTAACGGTGTTAACTGGCTGTTAAAAAGATGTTTTTGCCCCTAGAAAAAAAGCAGCGAAGCAAATTTGAGAGGAAAAAAAACCTGCGCCTTTTTTTGCAGCTGGGCGCATACATTAGAGGTGGGCGCATGTTTTTTTCCTCTCAAATTTGCTTCACCGCTTTTTTTTCTAGGGGCAAAAACGTCTTTTTAACAGCAAGTTAACACCGTTAGCTAACGGATTTGACGGTAGTGTCAAATTAGGGATGAAAGTTGAAGTGAGTGTCAAATAGGAAACGAAGAAAATTTCAGGACCAAAAAAGGAACGACTCATTTTCTCAGTGTCAAATAAGGAATTCTTTCTAAAATATTAGTCATGGTATAACTAATTATTTCGTGAACCAAAATCTTGGGCAGATTATTGTCTAATAAAATCTAAACAAATGTGTTTATGTAATTCCTGACAAGGCATCCCATGTGAAAAATCAAGAGAGATCTCCCATCATAATCTTTGGTGGACAGACCAATCCTAACATATCGACAAAAAAGTTACGGAGGTTGATATGATGCGTAAAAAAGCTACAAAGGTCGATATTGAATCATAGAAACATATCGGTAGTATGAAAAAAGCTACATAGTTATGATATATTTATATCTAAATAATTATGCGCTTTGCAACGGAAGGAAAAATATACCAAGGTGTATTTTTATTCGATACAGGTTTAATAGGACATTGTTATTTATTGGCAGCATTAACTTATACGGATGTGACGATCATCATAAAATAAATTATAAAAGCATAAAACATAAGTAGATGTGTATCATTCACGTTATTGTTTTGCATGAATGTTTAGTAGTTTTTTTTTCTCCCGTTGCAACGCACGGATATATTTACTAGTTAAATAGTTAGAAGTGTATAAAATTTGAAAATGTGTGTTCTCTGTGTAAGTTTTTAAACACTTAACATAATCATGTTGGCATAAAGAAAATTACTCAGTCATACATCTTTTCAAAAATGTGTTTAATAAGCGTAATCATGTTGTCACAGATAACATAATCATGTTTTTAAACACTTAACATAATCAAGCTGACTGCCGACGCTCCTTCTAAAAAAAAAACTGACGGCCGACGCTGCTCCTCTACGGGCTGCTCTCCCCTGCCGCGGCCCGTGATTTGAAGCTCGATCTGGACCGCACTACAACTAGGATTCATCTCGATACAGCCCAACTAGCCCATTCACCATTCCTCTCAACCATTTCGCCGCTCTTCGAATTCGAAAGGCGGCGGCGTCCCTACCTTCGCCGGATTCCGCCACCGATGGATCCCGCGGCGCCGGGGAGGTTCGACAAGCTCCAGAGCTCGTTCAAGCTCACCGTCCAGTGTCTCCTCACAGCCTGCTCCCGCGAGGTTGGTTGGTTTCGTTCGCTGGCTCGCCCCCCCCTACTCCCCTTCCTCAACTCCCGTTTCCTCCCCCCTGGCGACGCTGGTCTCGCTAGGGTTTGAGCCAGCGGAAGAGCACATATCCTGGGCGGGGATTCGATTTCCCAGTTGGTCGTGCTACAGAAATGTGGGATCAGCATTCGATTGACTCGTGCTCTTGAGCGTTTCAGGTTGTCAATGAGGCTTTCTCGTCGTTCACCGATGCCGAGAAGGAGCATCTGCACCGAATGCTCACCCTCGTGAGTGTCCTGATCTATGCCCTGTCGAATAGTTACGATGTGCAATGAACTTGTAAATTATTTCATCCTTGCGATACCTACTAATTTGAATGCCGCGCAAAGTTCAGTTCTATGTTTTTGCGGTCAAAAGTTCAGTTCTGCATCCGGCTAGTGTGAGTGTCTGTGTGTGACTCATGTAGATTAATCCATTTTTGTGTGTTTTTTTTCAGGTGATGAAGAATACGCATGCCAACATAATGGTACAGTTTTTTGTTCCTGAAGGGTCCAATTCCTGAATAATATCAGTTTAGCATTCAGATTTTGTTCAAATACATGCCATTCTACCATTGATTTCTTAACTACACCTTCCTTTTGTAGTGGCATTACATTCCTAGCTTACTACTTTACTAGCAACGAGGACATTCCGTGGATTAGAAACAAAACCTGTGCTAAGGGTTATGTTATTATACAATGCCTTTCTGCCTGTCTCTCACTATGTTTTCTGCTGCCTCACTTGCACGGTTTACCACTTGTATCTAATATAGAAGCATGCATTCTTAAATTACAAAACTGATATCGCTTCCGTTCTGTTTGCCAAGCCTGATGCAGTTAGTTTATATTTATCTTCCTTCCTTTGCATGTGCGAGCATTGTATTGAACCCAATATGTTATAATTTGTTTTCTCTTCTTATTGCAGGATGAGTTTAACAACTTCTGCCAAGAAACACAGGTAACATTGAAATCAGTATTTTCCCAAACACTTGACAGATTTTGATCACAATTGTGGATTTTCAACAAAGTATGTTTCTGATTAATTAACAGTTCAACTCAGTGAGACATATTACCATTTAGATATTGTTTATATTCATATTTATAGTTGTAGCAGCACTATAAATATAAAAGGAGCTCTTACGTCTTACCCACCAAATACTATGGGAATTCTTTTAAATTCAATGGGTTGGACTGGTTGCGATTTGGTTGTACTTCACCACAAAGTATATGAGGGTATCATTCATGAAGGGGGTGAAACTGTACTATATGTTGTTAAATCCGTAATTTAAATGTATTTTATCCTCTGCGTCTACTGCTATAACGACAAATGTTACCATTTAGAAGTTCAGCCGTCAGCAACTGGTTTTGTCAATCAAGTAATCAGCAAGTAGAGGCTGCACATCACTTAATAGGCTTAGCCTGTGCCCCTCCATTCCTTTGTATTTTCTTGTCTTTCTAAGAAAAGACTCTGACCAGGGGGGAGACATTCCCCAGATTTTGCCCTTAAGAAGTTTGTGCAGACCTTTGAACCCAGACAGGTAACGGGGGGTTTCATCAACCCTCGAACTTCAACAGTCTTACCAGTGCTACCCTCCTTTTTTTTGTCTTCTTGTCTCTTAATTTCTTTCATATGTTCGTAGGCACTATTTAGAAGAGCTGCTCCATCTTAGATATGGAGTTTTTGTGCTTAAATCAAGAATCTTAAGACAGTTTTTGTCTATAATAGAAGGAAAACAGCTCAAACAAACAACTCAGGAGAGTTTTGGACCTGGAGCTCTGCTAAACCGTTACTCCTTTTTTCAGGATTCTTGCTCTTAATTGCCTTAGCAGGCTAGCGCATAACAACCATTCTTCTGATTTAACAGAGAAACACATGTAGTAGAATGATTTCTCATCAATATAAAGCAGTATGGATGTGCACTTGGTGTTTTCTGGTTTCTGACAGACCGGGCATGAAAGTGAATGGGTTATTGGGTTTTGAATTGTGTCTGGGACGACAGTAGAGATGAACATGATATGGAGAAAATGAGGCAGACAATTTTAACGTGACTTTGACCATGGGCTGCTAGTTAATATCCATCAATTCACAATGATATTGTTTCAGGAAAACTTGAGCATTAGTGCCACCTTGAATTAAAACAAAATTCTTATTATCTCTAGAAAACAAGTAATTAAGTTTTAACAGTTTAACATATCCCTGGTATACTAAGGGCCACTTTATGTAATACTCCTTTGCGCTTTTGTAGTGCTTGGTAGAAGGTACTACGTCTTCTCAGGTGTAACAACATCATTTCATTATTTTAGATGGCTGCCGCCCTTGACAAGATAGATGACTTTGTTGAATTACAAAATCTGGATGCATTATCTTCAGAGAAGTAAGTGATTTATGCTTTACCTTGAAGTCTACCCCCTCTCTCTCTCTTTTTTTTTTTTGAAATTTCAGGGCTTTAAATACTAGGCTGCGATGGTTATGATGCATCCAATGCCCTCGCTTTTATGTTTGAGAACTAGTATATAAGTACATCAAGATATTCCTTTGGTGAAATTTAGCATAGCCTTTTCTTCACTTGTTTCTGTTTTAAGTTACCCAATATAGTTCATTTGATTGCAGGACTACTGTTGAAGAAATCGAAGAAAAGGTCTCAAGAGCAAAGAAGGATGAAATTGAACATTTGACGGGTTTACTGAAAAAGGTATTGAATCGGTTTTGCAGACTATGGGTGTGGCAAACTTAGGCTTAGGCGGCCTTGATTCACGGCCAGTTGAATCATGTGTACAGCCCGCAATGTGGCTGTAGGGAAAACTGGAGAGCGATACATGCGGGTGTTTGGGTATGCATGAGTGTGACAGTCCTACATAAATGAATGCAAATCTGAATAATGAGAGTTGAATTTATTAGTTGCATGACATTGTCCTAAAATATGTGAGCCCTTTGGGTGGGCATGTAATCGTCTAGAGGTGTTGTGTTTACTCGGTAAATTGAATAACTATAGTTCTCTTGCTCCAAGAATTGCTAACCCAACTTAACATGTCCTATCTAGTGTTAATAACTGTTACTTGAATTTGCAGTAGATTAGTACATTTTAGGGCATGTCTGTGCAGCAGCTAGTCTCCTTCATGATGCACCAAGGCTTTATATGAGCTCATTGATCTAGGGAGTCAATTTGGTTAAAATTGTATGGTTGCACACTATATGAGAAAGATGCTTGTATGAAGGAAATGTGTTTAATAATGACTTCCCTGGGTGTTTGCATTATGATAATGAAATCTGAATAAATTCTGAGAAAAAATGATAACTTAGTGGTTGGCATAAATCCATAGGCATAAATTTCTAAACCAGTCCCTTAAGATAATTAGAAAGATGTAGAGTGGTATTTTGCAGGCTTTCCAGATTGTTAAAGAACATGAATTTTTGTGGTCTGAAGCTCCCACTATGAATGATCTAATTGTCTGTACAGTGTTGCCATCTTAAAAGTTCAGTCCTCTTACTAGCATGAATCCAGAGTTATAAATCCCCTTATGAAGTTCCCTGGTCCTTAAGCATGTTGGGTGGAGTGACGGTGTTGACTTTAAGGATAGCCAATGATTCTATTAAAATGTACTCTTCATGTTTACTGTGCACGAGAGGATAAGTTGAGGATTTGTTAAAGTTAGGCAAACTACACCTTAGTTATCTGTGTTAGTATATACTTTAATAGTTTAATTTTCTAACATAACTAAATAGGTCTCTGTCATTGGTTTTCAGTTAGAGCTTAGAGGAAAGAGTTTAAGCCTGAAATAATCAATATGTTTTTCCTTTAAAATGATTTATGAGCCTGTTCTTATGCTGATGATCAATATGTAGCCTTACTCAACCCTCAAGTGTTCCATTAATAGTGAATTAATCTTTGATTTCATAGGTTCTTGAGTTAACCTTGTGTTCATAACCTCTGTCTTCTGCAAAAGAGAATACTTGCAAAAAGGTTAGGTTGACATGTGGGGGTTAAGTTAAACACATGCCAATTAATCTAGTAATGGGAATAGAATAACCCCCTTCAGTCCATACATATTGGGAGGGATTAAGGGGGGAAATTAATTTATTTTCCACTTCAATCCACATGTATTGGTATGGAGGGATTGGTTCTATCCAAACAAGTCCTTAGTTTATTATCAAAGCTGGGTCTTTTATGCCCTACCATTGATAAGAAAGATCACTCTTAGTTGATACAACAAGGTAGTCATTTTTCTCACAAGAACATAGGATGAATGTGAGGCTATCACACATTCACACTCGAGTTGCAAGCATATTGATTAGTATCACATTGAGGTTTGAGCCTTTATGGACATTTGTTGAAGCTAGGAGATATCTTCCTTATGTGAATATGCATATCAGCATGGTTCTGTAACTTTGTATTGTTTTAGAAGAAATTTAAAACCTTTTTGGTTCGTTTCGCTACAAGTGAAATGGCAAGATGACTGCTGTTAGACTTATATTATTTGCATAGGGAAGCTACCCCTGCATATCAATTTTCATTGATAAAAAATGTTACAAGATGTGATCAGATGTAGTATCTTTGTGCTAAGTAAGTCTGTCTGGGTAAAGATATTAAACACTGTTAGTAAGTTGTTTGGGTAAAGATATTAAATACTGTTCGTAAGTTGTTTCCTGTTCACAAAAACATAGGTTGAAGAAAGTAACAATGTCATGAAAGCTCGAATTGAACTCCTGAAGTTAGGGGAGGATTCAACTGCTGCAAGAGATGTCCTCAATAAGGTTTGCTGGCCCCCCCCCAACCCACCCACCCTCCAAATTGTACCATCTGTTTTTTCTATTACTCGTCTCAGTTTGATTGGATCTCTTGGATGTTTTCTTACAGGTGACGCAGTGGAACTGCAGGTTCACTGGCGCTCTGCGCTCCTGAACAACAATAACCTTTGAATCTGTGTCATGACGATTCACTGGCGTCAAAGGACATCTTTGTATAGGGGTGTGTTAGATGTTGGATTGGATGACATGTCAATATGTGATTCATGCATCAGCCTGAATGTTCTTCTGTGATGATTAAGAATTGCTTGTGAATGTTATGTATCGTGCAATAAACACATCGTCTGTACTCTGGATATATTTCTTACATCCATGAAGTAATCCCAACCTTCCTGCAGTGTTTTTTATCTCCGACATGTTCCAGTATCATTTTGGTTACTTATTAACTGCAATGTCACCTCGTGCAAACAGAAAGAAAAAAAAAAGAAAGAAATGGGCGAGTGCACTGTGTCCCGACAAGTCAGTGTCAGCCGCACAGTTTCCACACGACCAGAGGCCACGAGCACCACTCTTGCCTTAGCCACAGGCAGCACAGCATCTCCATCCATCCAAATGGCAGCCAGCAGCCATCCCCTTCCGGCTCCACCTCGGCAGCTCCACACCTCCACCTGCGGCCATCCTCGCAGCCCCTCACCATGGCTGCCACGCTCTCCTCCGTGGCTGCCCCTTCCCTCCCCAAGCACGGCTCCGTTATCAGAGCTCAGCAGCAGGCGCCTCCTTCCATCATCTCGGCATCAACTGTGAGTAGGGATGGGTCCGTTCTTATAGTTTATTTCTGTGGTTTGTTTCTTGTGATGTGATCGCTGATGTTCGCATGCATGGTGCAGAAGACTGCCTTCCATGGGGTGTCGCTGGTGGACAGGAGGTGGGCGGCCGGCTACCGGAGAGGCGGCGGCGGGCGGCGGAGGCTGCTGCAGGTGAACGCGAGGACCGCCGCCAAGAACATCGAGGTGGAGGTCGACAAGCCGCTTGGGTTAGCCTTGGGCCAGAAGCCCGGCGGTGGCGTCGTCATCACTGTTAGTCCTCTTCACTTGCGTTTTCATTGCTTCCTGTCCTTTTTTTTTCTGTTTTCTTTTGGAGAAAAGATTTTGCCCCGCTTTATTGATCATAAAGAGTTCAAGACAGTGAAGTTCCAGCGAATTGGCGCGCCCGCCACAAACAGAAAAGGCCTTAAAAGCCAACAGCACCACTACCCGAATACATTTTGATTACATTGGGTCACCATCAAGTCTTCATTCGTGTGATGACTGATGAGCATCCAAACAGCCCCGTCGCAAACGCAGAGCAGCCAGCGATCCCAGTCTTGAGCAGTTCAGAGCCCCGCCCTGCCAGTCGATTCTTGGCGGTCGAGTAGCCTGGTTTTGCAATTGTTGCACAAAGCTTCCACTCTCCTCCCTAGATCCTGGCTGTACATCGGTGTCCATCTCCCCAACATCTTGACAATCATCAGTAAGATACACTTCTCTCGCCTAACCAAATTGCTCCCTGATAGCACAAAGAGTTACGAAATTTCTACAGACACCACAAAAACGCTGAGCTAATGATATTGTACAATTCATGCTTTTTACTAGCAATAGCAACCCAACTAGCGGCCACATACTCAAAATTTATCACTTCCCTGGAATTTAGAAGTTCGGAAATAGTACTCCAGCAACATTTGGCCACACAACAATCAAAAAACAGATGACAAATAGACTCCCTCTCACTACAGAAAAGACAAGACTGGTCCAACCTCTCTTCTCTTGGCCAAATTATCCCTAGTATAAGTAACATGTTCTTAGTTAACAACCACAAGAAAAATCTGAATCAGAGGTGGAATATTAATTTTCCAAGCAGCATGGACATACACTGGTGTAACTCCTCTATGACTGCTCACCGCATACAAAGATTGTACTGAGTATTTACCATTAGAGCTAAAGCTCCAAATTATTTGATCTTCCTCCTCAGATTTATTCACCCCTTCCATTATCTCACTGTCAATTGGCTACTTCCTGTCCTTGTCTCCCGGCATGATCCTGGAATGCAGATTTCAGCCACGAACTGATGTTTCATAAATATACTAGTCACCTTGCTTCACTGAATTCAAAATTCTCGCACTAGTCATGATTTGAAGCTGAAGATCCAATTGTTAATTGCTTCTATGTAAACAACATGTTCACTTCAGTATGATTCTCTGAATCTGGAGGCAAGTATTGCAAACAGTAACTATGATTGATTTGTTTCTTCGACATGGGATTATTAGTCTGTGGAGTCTGGAGGGAATGCAGCAAGAGCTGGTCTGAAAGCTGGCGACCAGGTCTTGTACACAAGTAGCTTCTTCGGAGATGAGCTGTGGCCTGCAGATAAGCTTGGGTTCACCAAGACAGCCATCCAAGCAAAGCCAGACTCCGTCTACTTTGTTGTGAGCAGGTACACACTTGATCCCTTGGATTATCCTGGCTACATGGTTAGGGATTATGATTTAATATTGCTAAATTTAGTGAAATGATTATACTTCCCCCAAATCTCATCTGAGTGATCTCAGGGGTGCCGAAGTTGATGTGAAGCGCCTACCTAAGAGGCCGGCACCGCCTCGGTTTGGACGGAAGTTGACTGATGCACAAAAGGCAGGATCAGCATAACCATGGCTTTTTTGTTCTCCAACTGGAAGCCTCTGCATGTATTTTATAAACTGCAAATGTCCCCTTTTTCAGGAGAGAGCAACACACATCTGCCTTGATTGTGGATTCATATACTTCCTACCCAAGCCTTTTGAAGAACAGGTAAGCAATGCATCTCTCTCTCTAAATCAATTACAGAATTAGTGTTTACCTTTTCTGTTTATATCTAATTAAGTACTGTATTTTAGTATTCGTGTGATGAAGTTTAACCATTTTCTGTCTGGCTGCAGCCTGATGAATATGGTTGCCCACAATGCAATGCGCCAAAGAAGCGATTTGCAAGGTACGATGCTGCCACTGGGAAGGCCATCGGCGGTGCGCTGCCGCCTATTGCGGTGATCATAAGTTTTGTAATCGGCATCGCTGGAGTAGGGGCTCTGCTTGTGTATGGCCTGCAATAGGCTGCTCATTCTTAGAACCAATTTTTGCTGTGCACAAGAAGCTCAGCTGACTGCTGCTGTACTCCATCTCACAAAGCATTCTGAGTGATATACATAAAAGGGAAAGGAAATATACAATATTTGAGGCTAACGGCTTGTCTATTTTTCATGCACTATTGGTTATACAGTTACTCAATTTTATTACCGAAAGGCAGCACGCTTTTCAGAAATGCTTCGATTGTCAATGCTGCTCTCATCAGCATAGAGATTTTGTCACAAAAAGTTTCTACCACTCAGGTTCCAATCCAAACTTCAAAGATCAAAGATATAGGAATCATGTCATGCACAGATTCTAGAATCATACAGAAGCATCCTTTTTTCATGACCTGTAGAAACCAATGTGCTATATTCACTGAACTTTGTGGTCAATCTGAACAAATTGTAATTTTGGCTCATGACCGGTAACATAAGCTTTGCCAGTACCTTATCTTTTATCTATTACAATAAGACAAATTGTACTGAGACCCATAACTACTCCCACTATGGGTTGACAGTTTTTGTGGTTGAAGTGATCCATGGTCCAGCTCATGATATCAGCCATCATTTTCAGCTTACTCAACCAGCTTTTAAGTCTTAATGGATTCGATAAAAAGAATATTTTCTTCACTAAACCCTAGTTCAATTAGTTTGTGATTGTGACTTAAGCATGAGAATGACCTGACCTGCAAGTCCTTGTCTTCAGTGTCGTCTTTCTCTGGGATCAGCTCATCTACCAGATCAAAGTTGGGCTCCTGCCCTACCCACACTCCAGACAGACAGACATCAGCATTACACATACAAAAGCAGAAGCAGGTGGTTAAAAATTAGTTGGAACAAGATTAGCATGAATCCATATATATACCAGGAACTTGTTAGGCCTGCATTGCCATTTGCAACAAGCAGTCTTCTGTTACTTAGAACAAAAAAAAATCTTCAGATACATATCTCAGTAGAACTGTAGAGGTGATCATGAGCTACTGGGGAAGCCCAGGCGGACCGCCATCGTGGGCGGCGAGCCGGGGGCCATCGCTGGTGGTGCCGCTCATCGTCGTGGTGGCACTAGGATGGGTCATCTGCCAAGAGACCCTGATGGGGTGGTACGAGACGGTGACGGAGTTGCAGGAGACGGTGACGGACAACGCCGTGCTCCTGGTCCTCGCCCTCGGCGCCGCAGCGCTACTGCTCACCTTGGCCGTGGCCGGCAACCGGAGCGAGGTGGTGCTGGTGCCGGTGGTGCTGGTGCTGGTGCTGGTGCCGGTCATGTTCCTCATCCAGAACATCGTGCTCACCGCTCTCCTGCTGCTGGTGGTGGTCTACTTCGCCGGCATATACTACTACCGGCCGGACAGAGGGTACGGCTACGGGTACGGGTACGGCAGTGGTTTCGGCGGCGACTGGAGCGGCGGAGGGAGCGCCGGGCTGGGGTTCTACATGCTGCTGCTGCTGTGCCTGGTGCTGTGCGCCATGTTCTCCGACGGCGGCAGCGGCTGGTGGATCCCAGGTGTGCTGCTGGTTGCGTGCGTGCTCTGCCTCAATCTCTTCTCCGGCGGCAAAGTTTGGGCCTAATGTATAATTAGTTTTGCTGTTGTAATTTTAACTTCAAACTTATACATACCGACTGATTTATCTCAGATACAAACTGATTTGCAAACCAGTGTCATGTGCAACTCAGAGTCTGGTTGGAAAAGCAAGTTGCTACTGTGAGCTATGTGAACTTGTGTGGCAGAACCACCCTAATTATATGGCTCGCATACATCTGTCATTGTCCTTAAAACATCTGCTGCACATAAGAGCCAGATAACTCAGGCCAAGTTTTGAAAGTCGACGACTACAACGCGCCTAGTCGCTAGGCTACGGCCTGGCGCCTGGATTAGGGGGGTAGTCGCCCCTCAAGTCGACAGGAGCGCCTAGGCGGCGCTAGGCGACGCCTCCGAGCGACTCGGCGGCGCCCAGAAGCCCTAGGCGGCGTGGAATCGACTCGAGTCGGCCCTGGTTTCAGTAGCGCAAAAAATATACTGTGGCGGCGGGTGGCAAGCGCCACTGACGGATAAGGCCGCGTATGGGTACTGGCTTGCAGCAGCGACGCTATTCCGCTGCCAGGCGACGCTCATCTCCATCGGGAAGCGCTTCATTGGCGCCGAAATTGCAGCAGCAGCGCGACGCGGATAAGGCACAGATGGGTACGAAGCTTGCGGCGACGCTATTCATTTGCCGCCAGCGACGCTCCTCTCCATCGGGAAGCGACCACATTGGCGTCGGCGCCTCCTCCTGCCCACTTGATCCGCTCCGACCTCGTCCTCCTCCACTCCTCCCGATCTCCGCCCAGCTCGTCCTCCTCCCGATCGAAGCCTCGAAGGGCCTCCCCACGGCCAACTCCCCCGCCGCCCAAGACCCTCCTCGGCGGTCATCTCCCTCAAAGTGAGCCCGGCCCCCAAGGCGGCCCAAGCCGAAGGTATGTCCTCTCCTGCTCTGCTCTGCTCCCTTGAATTGCTCTGCTCTGTTTCAGTTGGACTGTTGGAGACTTGGAGCATTGCTCTGCTCCCTTGTCTTCTACTCTTCTCCATTGCAGTTGGACTGTTGGAGACTTGGAGCATTGCTGCATCAACTACAAGTAAGGAACATCACTTCTGTTATTCTGTATCAACTACAAGTAAGGACTAAGGACCTAAGGTATGTCTATCTAAATTATTCATGATTTCTGCTATATAAATATATATATATATATTATGCTATATATATGTTATATATTATACTAAATTGGCAAAACGCCTAGCATTGCATAGACTAGCCTAGGCTGGACTAGTCGCTAGGCTAGGGGTCATCACCTAGATTTCGTCTAGCGCCTAGAAAAACTTAGAACTCAGGTAGTCTGTCGGGTGTCCTCGGGGAACCCCGAATCATCCACATTTTATAACTCATACAGGATCAACGTGGAGTTGCCACAACATTACAACATTTAGTACAAAGATAACTTATATCAGAGTGCGAAAGAATTATAACATTAGTTTACAAAACATGTTTAACTTAAGTTCCAAAAGATGAGTAGAAATTCAAAAGCAACTTAGGTGAAGCATCTAAGGTAGGAGAGACGACAAGATCATGTCGAGTCCACTGACATGACCTCCGCTAGCAGCACAAGTCAGATCCTGCAACAAGGGTTAACAAACTCTGAGTACTTGAGGGTACTCAACAAGTTTTACCCGACTAAAAGAAAAGACTCCAAGGGTATGCAGGATTAAAGACAAGGTAGAAACAAGAATAACTTTTGCAGAAAAGCTTATTACAAGTGGATCCTTACTTTCAATATTTTAGCTTTGTATTGGGTGTGTCAGTATCAAATTAGCACCTATTCTAGCTTAAGCACTTCATTAATCATACGATGAGTGGTTGGAGGATCGAGTCTCCATAACCGAGGAGCACGACGATTCGAATCGATTTGGTCCAGCTGGGGTTTTCTTACCACACGACATATGCAGGTCGTAGACCTACATATATCAACCATCACTTAGATCCTCCAAAACATGAACGGGTCCAGCGCTACCCGAGAGTACAGTACTCCACCTCTCTACGCCATTCGACGATGGATTCACAAGATGTGTACACGCTACTCTCAGCATCTCTCCACTCCTAGTGCGCGGTTGGCCTTTCACATAATGGAATAGCCGAGGTATTAGGCTTACTGGAGTATGTGGCTAGTACTACAAGGTCTCGACCACAACAGGCCTACAACGAACGGTCCTTAATCGACATAGACGGAAGCACTATAGGGAGACTCCATTCTCGATGCAAGCCACCCGTCCGGTCTTTAACATTATCTTAATCATGGTATTCACAACCCATAACCAGAGTTGAGAAGAACAAGATAAACCTGTTTTCTCTTGAACGATGAAACCATCATTCGACTTCTATCGAAGTCTAAGCATTACAAAGCATAAGAGGTATCGATCTATTCATACTAGCAGGGTATAACTAAGGATATCTGTATATCAAGGTAATCATGCAGCAACGATATTCGACTAACTCCTAATTACTTAATGCACATCTCACAAGACTTAAAGTGTAATAAAGATTTGTAAGCGCTATAGAAGGGTGGTATGCACCGGGGCTTACCTGCGTTGCAGAGAAGGTTAGATCCCAAGGAAAGATCCAGTTAGTCAGACATGGCACCATTGGTGGATGAACCTTCTTCGAAACTTGATCAACATGAGCCTTCTCACTCTCGTATGCACTACACGTAATAAATGATGCTTTGCTTAACATGATGGACCACATGCCATGATGCATGATAAGAGACATTCAAGTGCATGACAGAAGTTGAACAAAGTTAAGAAAGTTGAGTACAACTTTCTTTCACCAAGGAACTAGAGTTTATTTATTATAAAAACATTGTAGTTAATTAACTATCAAATTAATTAGTTGTTTATCATGAAAGGCATAACTTAACATGGACCAACAAGATTAACATGAAAAACATCTACAAAGCTTAACCTCCTACTCAACTATGGCATACAAGGAGCAATCAAGGCTTATAAACATGCATCTACTAATTAAGCATTTAATTGAGCTATTTATTTATTAAATAACAAGTTGATGATAAGCATATCAAGAAAGGAATTAGGAGTTTAGTGTTCCAAAGTCTATAATCAACTCCAAAATACACCAAAGTCATTTTATGATTTATCCTAATTATTTAGGTATTTATTAATTAATAATTAAAGTATGTAATTAAATGGATAATTTAAAATTATCAAAACAGTTCCATAATTTTTATGAAGGCAGGTCTAAGCATGTAAAGCATACACAAAAAGTTTCATGATTAAAGCATAATTATTTTACCCTATAAAAATCATAAAAGGTCCATTTATTAATTAAAAAAGGTAATTTTTAAGCATACCAAAACTACTAAAAATGACTAGTTTGTATTTTTCCTAGATAGAGAACAACATAACAAGGCTACACAAAAAGTTTCACAATTTTATCAAGTTTCTATAATTAGTTATGAAATAAACAAGATTCAACACTTTTAATCATTTCTGAAAAAATATAAAATCATTTTTTTCTGCGCCTAAACTTTTCCCACTCCCTTCTTCTCGACCCACCGCCACTGACAGCGGGGGCCCGGGTCGCGCCTGCGCTTGACCGCGGTGCAGATGCCGTTGACCGGCGGGTGCTCGTCACCGGCAAAGTCTCCGGCGACGGAGCTTACCCCGGCGAGTTCCTATCCCACTCCCGCACACCCCTCGAGGGTTATCTCAGCATGTAGGGTACCGGAGAGGGCACGACCGCTGCCATGCCGGACGGCGGTGCTCCGGCGCGGCGGAACTTGACGACGGCAAGGACTCCGGCAACGGAAACGGTACCAACAGTTTCCCCTTGACTACGCGAACAAAACTACGCTACCGGTTGAAAGAAATCGAGCTCGGTTCGTGCGCGACGGCGGCTATGGCGGACGGCGGAGCAGAGCTTGCCGGTGCGGCGACGTTCCGGCTACTCCGGCGTGGTAGAGATAAAACGGGCGGAGAAGTTTGCATCAGGAGCTGACCACGAGTAATCTGCGCTAGCTGGTTGAGTCGGAGGCAGCGCGGATGATCACGCCAGCGGTGAGGACGAGCGCGACGGCGTGAACTCGGCGGCGAACGCTCGTTCCGATGTGACCTGTACGGTAGAAGTAAAACGGATAAGATGAAAATCTTTGGGGTGCCCATATGAGTACAAAACACAAGAGATAAGGCCGAGAGGGCAGCTGACGATGGTTGGCTATGGTGAGGTCGAGCTCGGCGGCCATGGCGAGGTCGCCGCGGCGGGAACTGGCGCCAGGGGCGATTGCGGTGGATATAGGTGGCGCGAGCGGGTCGAGTGGATGCGCAAGGACAAGGAGATGTTGTTGGCACGGGCAATTGAGCTGGGGTGCAATGGTGGCGGCCAATTTGGCCCGGCTAGGCGAGCGGTGCTGGCGGCGAGACAGAGATGGAAAGGAGGAGAGGCGGTCGGCGGCTGGGGCTAAAAGGGCGAAGGCAAGGCGTCCGCGCGCGACAGCAGCTGCTTGAACTCGACACCGCGAGCAGCTGCGTGTCCGTGCGTGCATAGGCAGTGATCGAGGGCGGTGGCGTCGGCGGTGAGCAGACTGCTGCGTGACAACTGCTTGCCGACCTACTGTTCACGACTGACAGACCCTTTTCCTCCCTCTCGTTCTCGTGTTATTGTAAAACAACTTGATGAGCTCCAGTAAGCAAAGTTGTTCATTGATCTATGATCTCCATCTTTGCTTAAAGGGCCAACATAAAAAAATGAATACATTTTGTGATTTTGAATATCAAACTAGGGTTCAGTGAAACTGACAAACTGAATCCAGTTTCAGGTTTTGAAACAGTTTTTGATTAGCAACTTTGGACAATTAAATAGTGAACAAACAGTTATCCAACATATCAGCCTAGCTCAAACATAGCATCAAGCAATGGAACAAAGTTTGACCAAATTTTACTTACGAAAATTCATGTAATAATTCCCCAAAGTTTGAAATCACTAACTGCATTTCAGGGACTTGGCAGCAAGGCGCTGTGTGAGAAATAATTAGTGAATTCAATCTTGGAGCTCAAATTTGAACATATTTGACTTAGAAATATTATCAATCTTTGATTCCACATTATAAAGCACACTTTGTACTACAACTTTTATTTTAACAAAATTTTACTTGTTTAAGCAAATTCACATATTTAAATTAAGAAAGTTTCTTAATCACTTTTATTGGCATCATTTCATGCAACATGTAAAACATGACATATACAACATATGAAACATATGAATGCTATAAATGAAACATGAGTTGCATGAATGAAACATCACTTATGCAACATATCATATGAATGTTATACTTGAAACATAAATTGCATTTATGACTCAATGCTTGGTGATTTTGCTTCATGATGCACATGATCAAGTTTTAATTGCTTTTTAACATCTAGAATGTTACATTACCCATCTCTTTATCTTGCTTAAAACAGCTATAAAACATCTCTCTGTTTTCATCCATTTGGAAAACTGAAAGTTGAAAGCCAAAAGCAGGATCCAGGGTGTGCGAAAATTGTACTACGGGGAAGCATCAGCTTCTGAAAAATCAGCTTCGGGTTCTACCCACTTGGTTGACTTTCCGCTTTTTGACAGCAAAAGCACTTTCTAGAAGTTAATCGAAACACAGCCTCAGTATCACACAGACATACGGAGTATATCATAATTTAGAAGACTATAAAGTCTTCACAGATAGATAGATAGATGGATAACATTGGTAACCAGTTACATAAACAGGTACATAGTTCACAGATCCCCAGTGGATCAAATGATCTATTTCTCATGAACAAATGGCATAAAGCTCAGCTGGCAATAGCTGTTTGGCAACTATTAAGAGACTTTAAGAAGTGGCAGCCTCCTCCTGGAGCTGCTTCACCTTGGTGATGTAGTCACTCATTGCTTCTTCTTTCGATTTGCCTGCCAAGATCTCAAAAGTTTTAGCAACTACTATAATATCTTGTGATACTACTAGAATAGATGTATCCATGTAGAACACTAGTATTGTGGTAAACAACAAAAATATATAAGCTGCCCAAAATACAACGATCAGATAAGTATATGAACCTTCAACAGCCTTCCATGCATCCCACTTGGCCCTGTCCTTCTGGTAGAATATGCCAGGCCGATCTTCAAAAGTTTATTAACGAATAAACATGTAAGCACAGTTGTGTTGAAAAAAAATACTATTGTAAACACAAAAATACACAGATAAGTTTCAAGAGACACTATCAGGATCCCATGAGTTAATGGCAACTGGCTAGATTCTGATGTCAAACAGACTAGAGGTTCATTTAATGCAGGCGCAAGCAGAGCATAATTATGACTTAGTTACAAGTGAGATATGCATGTTCAGTTACTCCGCCTGGCCCTATGAACTTGAATTTATCATTCATCTGCATCTAGGTGCAGCAAATTTCATCAGTAAATAGATGTTGCAGCACGGAGCATAGACAACTACATTTCAGTATTGGTTGAACCCCAAGAGGTTGGTCAACATCTAATACATCCCTGCTCCATTATTGCTAAACTTCTGCTGCTATGTACTCCGTACTACATAAACAAATCCCAGAACCATGGTCAAAATTTGTTGTCCAAACTTGGAAAGAAATAAAAAGATAATACTGTTTTGTTTGCTTACCAAGATTTTGCCCATATTTTATATTCTTAGGATTTCCCCCTTATTTTATATTCTTATCATGTAAAGTATCACAAATTCACGATACATATTCAACACTGTTTGGATTTCTAAATTGTTAAACTTTGAAAGTAAACTGACAGGGCTTGCTGTTTATTTTAATTTATATAGGGAAGCAAATCGTCGAACTTTTAGAGAATTCCTATTATGACACAAAGTTAAACACTATCCATGCTAGGAATAGTATTGAGCCATGACATATAAATTGGGTTTCTGCAAACCAAGAGCTTCATCCACACTGCAAACTTACAAAGGGAACTGGAAAAAAGATAACAAAAGTAGCTGTGTGATTACATACTAACCAGTATTCACATTTCCAACAGTGGCTTGCTTGTAGAGTCCGTAGAGGATCAGCTTGTTCTCATTGCTTGTGTTCTCAGGCAAGGTCTTTGCCTTCTCAGCATACTCCTCAAATTCCTCCTGCAATAGAGATACAGCTCATAGGTCATGTTCCTTCTGCAATAGAAATACTCCTCAAATTGTCTCATCCACGATTGCAAAATTATTTCACAAGGTAAATCTTTCATGTAAATCGTTTTAAGAAATCCAGTCTTTGAACCACGCGCTTTGCTACTCTATTTCTTTATAGAATTATATAGAAAACCGAGACATCGCAAAAATACTTAAACAACAGGGAATTTCCCGTCTTACATCCAAAGGCATGATGAACACAGCAGTAACTGCCGCTCAGGAGTCAAGGCGGCGCAAAAGCATTGAAATCCCCTCTTAAGAATGAACATAAAGGGCACAGCATCTACAATTACAAGTGCTGCAAAGAGCCAACAGTCTGGATCCACCAGATCTTGGCTACGCATACAAATCTAGACGGAAATTAAGACCATGAAGCACCGGATTCCAAGTCTAGATCGTTTCTCTGGACAATCTAACCAAGCTCGTACCGACACTACTGTGGGTTACAGTGCAAGAATCTAAACGGAGTTGGAGATTCAGAACCAAATGGACAGAAAGAACAAATCTTGGAGAACATCAGATGAATAAAGATTTGATCTTTAACAAGCGAGTAAGAGATAATGTCGATTTAGAGAGTGATGAGCCGTGTACCTGCAGACCCATGGCTTGGTTTTAGGATTTGTTTTCTTCTTTGGCCTCGTCTCTTCTTCTCGGTTTTAACGATGACTGGTGACTAGATCGGATCTGCTTATATAGCGCAGTACTGAAATTCCTACGTAGTGAGAAACCCCTGTTTCCAAACTTAATTATGGAGGAGCCCCTGTACTGGGCAAATTTCGCAGACAGATCCTTGGAATAAATTTCTAGATTTGAAAAGAAAATGTCAGTAATAATAAGTTAGGAAAAGAACCCAAATTGTTAGTGTTGCTGACTTAAGGCCCTTTGGAATATGGAACTTTCTCTATTTCTTGTGTTTTTTTTTCTATAAAAATAAATTGATTTTTTTTAAAAAATCCTGTATAATTTTTATGAAATTCCTATGTTACAAAGCCCCTTTCTTTCACCGATGGACCATTTTGAAGATATTGATATATTTTTGTTGTTCATTCAGAAAAGGTCTATGAGAAAATGAGGAGGCATTGATAATTCACTATGCAGTGACAGTAGTGTGCATCAGTTAGCAGCTAACTGCTTGGACATAGAGAGGCATTGAAGGACAGACAGGACATAACCACCGACTGATACTCATCAGCCTCGTTTCGTCGTAAATGATAGTGGATTATTTACTGCTAACTAGTTTGATGTGAGAGAAAAATACTGTTTCAGCTTATAACCCACGATAGTATACGAACAAGCGATCAGCTGCATAAATGGAAGAGTAACAATCAGCCAAACAGGACATGCACATGAACGGTAGGCATAAATCAACAGGGCAGCAGACAGAAGCTTCCACTCAACAGTTCATCAATCATTCTATCCATTGCAACAGGGATCTGTGCTTATCACTGCTCCATTCAAGCATTTGCATGTTGAGCTTGAGCGTTTCAACTCAAAACAAATACGAATAACAACTAGTTCTGTTTATTTACCCATGGTCTGGTCCATGGCCATCCGACCCGGTTGAGTACGTTGCCCAAAAAGATGAGATGCTGATGAGCATACAACATATTTGTTTGGTCTTATTTGACTTATAAACCATAGCTTATCAGTCAATGAATAGTATTTTTCTCTCACACCAAAATACTATAATACTTTCAATCATGGCTTATAAGCTAAACAAATCCAAACGAACAGGACAATAGCAGACGGACAAGCTGGTGGCAGTAGGATATGCTCGAATGGAACCAGCCAAGTGGGCAAGTGGCTGTGAAATATGCTGCTGCTGCTGCCGCCGCCGCCAGGCAGTGGGCATAGAATCAATCTCATCACTAGCCGCTGACTGCTCTAAAAGACCAAATTAGATGCCATGCCAGCGTCCCCATCCTACGGTTGTGACTTGTGACCAAACTAAGCATGGTTCAATCATCTAGCAGCAGCAGTAAAATGTGATGCTGTTTGGTTCGGTGTTTTTTGTTTTGTATAATCAGATTACAGCAGCCATCAATACAAGCTGTCGCCGTTCAAGTTATCCTGATCGTGATGTCCTTCAATTAGACAATTACCCATGCCTCCCGAGTCCCGACCCAGCCACGATCGTGTTAATCTCCACGACCGGTGCGTATTTCGCATGAAAAAGAAGGATCCGACACTTGTTTCTTCACTGCCGGAAATCACTGGGATTCGTGGTTGTTTTCCCGACTTGGGGGCTGGCGTCCATTAATTTGCCCCAGCCAGGCTTGTAGTAGTCGAAACTTTCAACAACAATTCATTACTTTTTTTTTTCTCGATCAGGCTTTGAAGCCTATTTTTCATTAAGAAGACAACAACAATTCATTACTGAAACCGACGTTTTTTCTATCAGTTACAGCACGAAGATATGGACAAAAATATCAGTTATCTGCTCAAAAAAGGTTCAGAGCACAGAACACGCTATACCCATTTCAAAGCTCTAGGGTCTAGCATAAACTGGTTGAATCAACAAACTAAACATGGCCACACGGGGCACTCTTTACATGAACATAAGTAGCTGCGGCCTGCAGTCATGCAGATATAAAGACTAAAGAACTCACAAGTACTCGGTACAGAACTACAGATGGCCACTGAAAGCTATATGGATGATGGAAACGTACTCAAACAAATTGGCCAATTGGGTTTCTTGTTTCTTGCATGCAGAAGGAAAAATATTTCACCTAGCTTTGTATCATCTGCTCTCCATTGCCTTTATATATATGTTGCCATCAATTGAGTGCGCAATTATTCTACTCCAGTCCAAAAATATATATAAAGACTTCCCCGTTCGGCTTATCTTAAATCCGGCTTGCTCGGCTTCTTTTTCAGCCGGAACAGTGTTTTTCTCTCACAACATTTCAGTCAGAACAATGTTTTTCAGTCAATTTCAGCCAAGTTTCAGCAAGCTGAACAGGGCCATCCTGTAAAGTCCTAAGTCAGACTTTCTAGTTCAACCAAGTTTATAGAAAAGGGTATTATATATGAAGTAAAATATGGAAAATATATTTTATAATCATGCTAGTTTCATATGATAATATTAATTGTTATTTTATTCTACAAACTTAAGATAATTTGACTTGTGAAAAACTAAAAAATTCTTATATTTTGCTAGGACAAAGTGAGTATCTATTATATTATCACAATAGTGTTAAAAGAAGCCACTTATTTGTCAAGAGGGTCTAGAAAAATCATGAAATTAATCAGATAAAGCAAAGAATATGCACTGTTGATTTTTATGAACATCTAACCATCTACATCCGAAGAGACCATGCTAGTTGCTAGATACGATAAACCAGGGGTGGGCCCACTAGTATTCAAGGGTATTTAGTTGAATACCCAAATTTTTTGACAAAAAAATTCATATATCTAAGCTATATACAAGTCTGTATATTAAAAAACAAAAAAAAACACAGTGAAACTGTATTCTATACAGCAAATCGATCCAAAATGACATGTCTCTGCTCGTTTTTCTCCCACACCCGAAGGCCCAACGAGGCCCAGCGGCCTGCCAGCCCATATTCTCCACTCCCGCACCCCTACGGTCTGTTCGACTCCCAGTGGCGGGCGGCGGCACCGGCACCGCGCGCGGCGGACTCAGGGGTGGGCGGTTGGGGCGTCGGGCGGAGGGCGGCAGCCGGCAGCACGCAGCAGCGAGGCGCGAGTCCGAGGCTCCAATTGCGACAGTTAGCCCTGGGCATTCGGTACTACCGAACCGAACCGAACCGAATCCTCGGTTCTTCGGTTCCCAGGAAAGTCGGCACCGATCGGTTCTTCCAAAAAAATCGGTACTGACGAAGTTCAGCTTTGGTTAGTTCGGTTCGATTTAGATTCCGAACCGAACTAACCGAACAACTCCGGCTTCCAAAAAATCAGCGACTCGGGAGGGCGCGCCGGACTCTGGGCGGGGATGCGGCGCCGCGGGAGGTCGGCCGTCGCAGGGGGCGCCGGGACTCCAGGTCTCCGGGAGGCGGGAGTTCGGTTCCTCGGGTAGTTCGGTTAACTAAGGGGAAGAACCGAATTAACCGAACAAATTTCAGTTCTTCGAAAATGGGAACCGAACAGGGAACCGAGATTTCGGTTCTCGGTAAATTCGGTTCGGTTCTCGTTTCTCGGTAAAATTTGCCCAGGGCTAGCGACAGTCGACTGCTGAGCCCGAGTTTGTCCCAATAAGTTTCAGTCTCTCTGTCTCTTGGCTTAGCTTCCGGATTTCATATATATTTCCTATATATATTATGCAATTTCAAATTTCAAATATATTTCCTATATATGTTATGCAATTTTAAATTTCATATATATTTCCTATATATATTATGGATTCTTTTGGTTGTGAACTTTTTTTTGTGCCGTTATATATTTCGAATACACGGCCTCAAAATTCTGGGCCCGCCACTGCGATAAACATATAACGAAATTCAGAATTAACTGAAGCTTGTGTTGCTCTTATGAATCAGGCAGAGTGATCTTTGAATCAGATTGTGCAAATCTTATCAGCACAATCAAGGGAGGGTAACTCCATGAATCTTGCAGCTTCGGGGATGATCATAGTGAAAATTAGAGATCTTTACTGCCAGAACTTTATCTTAGTTGATATAGGCCCTGTTCGGCTGACTGGAAAAACGGCTGATGCTGATGCTGATGTTGATTTATTGTGAGAGAAAAACACTGTTATTTCGTTGAAACGGTACGGCTGATAAGTTCAAGCGAACATATGCTTTTGTTACTGTGTCGTAACCGATGTAGCGGCATGATTGTCCACACTTTGGTGTTTCTCTCGGATCGGGAGATCTGCCTATGGTAGATTTCTGTCCAGCCATTGCACTCAGTCCGGTGCACCATGTCTAATGGAATGGCATGTTCATAAAAAGAAAAAAAGGTTGTATGTTTTATATTATAGACTTTTTTAGTAACAAGTAACAATATATGCATAAAATGTATCTCTACAGAAAACTGTCGACCTTATCAATTTCACTAGGAGTATTGACAAAATAGAAATGACCTCTATTTACACAGGTAAAACATCAACAACCCATTTCAGCTACACCTCAACCAGACACAGAAGGTAATCACAATGAATTTGACCGTTGTTGGTGATAGGCTTGCGGGCGATTTCATTCAAAATCTTTATTGGGCACGCGTGCGTCACTAACAAAAGTTGCAAGAGGATGCCATGGTCGAAAATGAGGGGGCGAGGGGGGTTGAACGGAGCAGCTGGCTAGATCGTCGTAGCCGGCGTTGTGGACGAGACAGCGATAGGTTCGGGTTTTAGGTTGTCTAGGGCATCCATGGCCGATAGGCTTAGAGGGGACCGAGGGGGGCTAAGGTCGGTTGTTGCTCCGATGGTGGTAGCGGATTGAGGGGCGGCGAGCAAGGTAGCAAGGGCACCATCGAGCGGGTTAGGGGAGGAGGGGGACAACCGGTTGGGTGAAGCTTGCAGCGGGGGGCGAGGAGTAACGGCAAGATTGTCTATTGAGATTAGCGAAGGGCGGAAAAAGAGCGATGGAAGAGGGTGGCCAGCAGGTAGGAAGGTCACTGGCAGCCTGGGTGGTGACCGACGC